AAAAAAAAAAAAAAAAAAAAATCTAGATCTAGCTGGGCCCAAAGCCAGATACGCAGGAGGCTGAGTCAGGGGTGTGGCACATACAAACCTTACGAAAGAAAGAAAGAAAGAAAGAAAGAAAGAAAGAAAGAAAGAAAGAAAGAAAGAAAGAAAGAAAGAAAGAAAGAGAGAAAGCAAAAAGGAAAGAAGGAAGGAAGGAAAGAATAAAGGAGAAATCATAATATTGGCAGGTAAATATATGGAACTAGAAAAGATTATATGGAATGAGATAACATAGATCCAGGAAAACACGTGTTGCACAATATCTGTTACCTGGGGCTCTTAGCTCCAAATCTTTAGATGTGAGTGACGTATCCTGGAGTAACTGCAGAAAGCAGGAAAATAAAATGGAATCATTGTCAAGTAAGGGATGTTGGGAACCATTAAAGAGGGAAATAGAAGGGTACAAGTGATCTGATCAGGGAAAAGAGAGCTCTAATAATGGAAAATGAAAGAGAAAACTACAGAAGACGAAGGGAAGAGGGAAAAGTACAGTTAGGTGTCTTTAAAAGTCATAAGGAATCAGACTATTATGATTCTGTTGTAACCCTTTCTCCAAGAGCTAAAAACTACAATATGAAAGTACAAGAAGTCCTTCTTTTGGAAGCCATACATAGTACTCGAAACCTAGCCCCCTGCCCAAGACTGCTGAAGTCATGGATCTTGCAGAAGAATCTGCAGCCACCACTTTACTAAACCGTCATAATTTCTAACTAAATTCTAATTGTTTGTCCTTATAGATAAATATGGTCCTTATTCTTTAGGAAGGAAATTTCTCTGCAATAGGTGGAGAACATTTACATAACCACGACCAATCAAAATGCAGAATTATAGAGCCCAGTCCCAGTCATATATCTGTGATACAACTCTGACATCTAAGGTTCAAAGATCAAAGGAAAAAAGGATGGAAAGATTGTAAGCACCAAAGGACCAGGGAGTTGGTTGGGAGATTGTGTCTCCTAACAGTGTCAAAAGCTACATCCATAAAGTCTTACCAACATGAGTGCTTATGTATGAGCTAAACAAGAACAACAACACATGCCAAAATGAATAGACGAAAGACCATAAGACTCTATTCCTACTCAGAGAACAACAGACAACTAATTAATGCTGAAAGTAAAGAAATAATCTTCCCCAGGGAAGACACACCAATTGGTTTTCCAACACCAAATGTTCAGTTCTGAAAACATGCATGCAGATAACATTATTCAGACTGATTAGGGTGCATTTATGTATTTAGGAATATATATGTATATATATATATACATGTGTAATAACAATTAATGAAAACAGAGGCCATGGGTTTGTAAAAAGAACAAGGAGGGGTATCTGGAAGTTTGAGAGAGAAAAAGGAAAAAAGAATGGTATAATATATTTTCAAAAAATAAGTAATAACTGAAAGAACAAGTTCAAGGAAGACAGAGAGTGTAACTATGGCATAACTGCTTGCTTTGAATACATTCGATTCATTCCCCCGGTCTTAAAAGAAATCCAAGGGAAAGACTATTTATTTCTCCTGCACTCAGTATTCCAAACTTGCAGTAGTTCTTTGTAAAGGCTGAGAGCTCTTGGGCTTTCAAACAGCCTCATTCACATTAGTATGTCTACCGTTCTTCTAGTCCAGCTCGTGTTTGGGCAATCGTGTTGGTGAGACACTGTAGGTGTAGCTTCTGACGTTGCTAGAAGACACGATCTCACAGCAAACTCTGTTCCTCCAGCTCTTATCATCTCTCCACATCCTCTTTCAAAATGATCAAGGTGACCATGAATTTAGAAAAAGAGCAGGAAGAGATATACAGGAAGATGAGGAAAGAAAAAGAACGGGAAATGAAGTAATTATATTATAATCTCAAAATATAAAAGAATCTTTTTTTTAGATTCAACTTTATCTTCTCTAAGTACATGTAACTTAGTCTTTGTTTTACAGCATCTGTTTTGACCTACATTTTTTGAACAACTTTATGCCGAACCCTGAGCTAATGTCTGGATAAGTGGAGAAGATTCTGCTTTTAGACAGCTTATTGGAGGAAGCCAGTCATGCATACATAACTGTTCTGTTTGGAGAAGACAGAGATGGGCAGTTCCTGTCTAGATATTGCTGTTCGGTTTAGGACAGGTAAACGACGTGGGAACAAGGTGGGAATTTTCATCAGATGGACTGAAAATGAGCCTCTTTTGGGATTAACAAAATTCTCATCTTGAGATCAAGGAGTGGGAAGTAAGGGCAGTGTGTGAGGCGAAATGGGAAAGACCTTGTGCTTCACATCACTTCACTGCGATTTTGTAATTCCTGGAAACACTGTCAGTAGTCCATAACTCTGCTGTTAGGCAGCACAGCTTTTATAGAGAACATCTTCTACCTCTGAAATTGAAGTTGTATGACCAGCTGTCACCACTGTGAAGCAGTGGTTGCTTTAGACCTGCTCTTTCAGACTGTCAATTTAAGGGCACCTGTTGAGGGCCGTGTTCTGTTGAAGAAGAGTCACATAAATTTGTTGCTTCTTGGACATGTTTGTAATAGCTGATCTTTCAGATGCCTAGACATTAAAGATCTGCTCACCATCTGAATGTCCTGTGAGCAGCCTGTCTACTTTCTCCCCCTCTGTTTATACAAATGTGTTGGGCATTTAAGATGATGATTTCTCTAGAAAAGCTTAATCATTGATGTAGAATCTCTCTAGAGCCTCTGTCACACAAAATTGATAAAGCCTTTCTTCTTGTACATCTTCAAGGATGGGTGGGAAGAGGCAAGGGGGACAAAGGAGGTATGTGAAGACAATAGAGGAAGGAGAAACAATCACTCTTCAGGAGAAGCAGTTACAAAGATACTTGCGAATTTAGGTGCTGAAGACGTGAAGTCAGTTCTGATAGCACAGGTAGTATTCCCTTCGATGCCAAAGTGTTATATCAATGAACTGCAGGTGAACTGATACATTTTAGCCTCTGGTGCCTCTGATGTACATTGCTGAGATAAGAGACCTGAAAGAAACCCATGGAACAGTTCACCTTCCAACATTTACTGTTCGGTTCTTATATAGTCTATTGTGAGAATGAATCTTACCAGCAGGAAAGCATCAGGAAAATTTGACCATCAGGAAAATTTCAAAAGCTTCACCCGTGTTACTGAAAGGACATTTCTGGGATAGATGCTGGTCTGGGAATCCACTTACCGGAGACCCCAACTGAAACACTGAAACTGTGTTCACTCAGCCCAAATCCTTTGTGATACAAGAACAAACAAGAACAGAGCAATGGCTGGCAGCACTGTCTTCCTCTCAGGCCCTTAGGTAGAATACAAGGTCCTAGGTCCACCTGTCTCTATCCCTAAACAGTGGCATCATAGGCACACATAGCCATGCTTTGCTTTTATGTAGGTAAGGATTTGAACTCAGATCCTCTTACTCTCACAGCAGTTTCTCTTTCCCATTTGATATTTCTTATGTGGTAATAAAACTGCCCAGGTAGCTTCTCTACTGTCTTCGTGTATAACTTAAACCTTTCCTAGAACACCTACATAAAAGGGTCGGGAAAGGAAAATTTTTAACTTCCACAAGAATCAACTGGGTCTCATTTCATGGTGTTTCTAGAGCCAAACTGCTGTCTCTCGGGTAGACAAGGGAAAGCAATCAATATTAGCAAAATAATAAGCTTTAAAAAAGCTTCTCAAGTGTTTTTCCTTAGTGGGTGAATCACCCTGGAAAGTATAAGAAACACAAATGTTAGATTTTATCTCATTGTGTCTTATGGTCATATTCAGCTGCACCACGGCTATTTTCTTGTCTGGATCTGATTCAAGTATAGTCAGCGGTGTACTTAAAGTGACATGTCATGCAGGGAAGACTAAGCAAGGAGTTAGGGAGTACTGTCAATGGAGAAACATCAGCCACCCCCGCCCCATTCTTTATGTTCTTTGTAAAACAAGAAAACAAAATTATGTTCAGCAGAGACACAATTTTATCACAATTAAGTCAAGAGAAGTAGATGAGATAAGAACCAATTAGATGTAGTAATTATTAAATTTTAAGATGCTTTCTATCTTGCAACAAATCCAGAAGCAGAGTTAGTATGAAGAAACCTCTGTTTCTGTCTGTTAATCACCAGCACATTGAGAAAACGTTTCATATTGTAGACAATATTCACGCCATTACTGCAGAAACGGAAGAGTCTAGATGACCATACGGTTCTGAGTCACTGTGAGTTGAAGGTCACACTCTTCCAGTCTGAGAGCCTGCTTTAACGAATAGCTGTCTTTAAAGATGCTTCTACAGGAGGCTTTCAGCATTAATAAACATGTAAAGAAAATACTGCGTTCACACTTCTGGAAGTTTCTCAGTAGTGGCTGTGGTTTGTGCTTCCATGTCCATCAGGCAGGATAGCAGTGGGCTTCGTAATGAGGTACAGACCACCTGCCTTCCTGAGGAAATTAATACAGAAATGGATTTTTTTTTTTTTACTTTTTTGTCTTCTAGGGCTATGTATAAAATTTTTCTATTCAGTGACTTCAGGCTTTTCATAAAAAGATTCATTCAGTGCTGTTCAACTGTAAATTATTTTTCAGGTAACATCTAAATATGTTTTGGGTGCGTTCTTACCTTAGTGGGTTTTGTGATTGAAACATCCATTGGCCGGGGTGAGCAATCAGTGGATGGCATAATGCAGCTGTATTCTAAGTGATAAGTATCTACGATAAGTAAACAGTATTTGAAACACAACTGACTATAGGCTAAAACCACGGGGGTTTCAGACTTAATTGTTTTAATAGCTTTTTCCTTTCTCATCCCAGCAGGAATCGGGGGGGTGGACCAATGGATTCCGGCAAGAGTAGGAATTTGGAGACTACAGTTAAGAGAGTCTACCGTGATCTGCTTATACCAAAGATAAATACCAGCAAGAAAATGTCCACCTTTTCACCCAATGGCCTGGAAGTGCCACCAGAAATTAAGAAAAGCTGTGGAGAAAAACAAGCAGAAAGCACGGCTGAGAGAGTAAAACTCACAAAGAATATCAAGGAAAAACAGAGCAATGAGTTAGAGAAAATGGCCCCTAAACGAAAGTCAGAAGGGGAAGAAAAGACAATTGGAAAGAAAGAGGCCAAGATAATGGAACTGGACAATCAGCTAGTCACCACGACGCCTCTGCCTCACATCCCCTTAAAGAACATAATGGATGTGGAAATGAAGCTAGTCTACGTTGATGAAGAGGATGTAAGCTATGAGTTTGCCCAGACGTACACATGCACTGGGATTCAGGCAACCGGCCAAACTTCTGCCATGATGACACCTGCAAGTACAAGGGATCTCACCACCCTGCCACAGATTGACAAATGGCTTCAGGTAGCCTTAAAGGATGCCAGCTCTTGCTATAGACAGAAGAAATATGCCGTGGCAGCAGGGCAGTTCAGAACAGCACTTGAGGTATGGGAGTAAAGACAGCATAAATGAACAGGGAGCCATGAAATTAAAAGTTACAATTACACTGAGTGGTTTTGATCACTGATCAATGTAATGAACAGTGGTCATGGGGTAAAAATATTTAATGTCAGAATTAAGAGTTCCAAAGTTACATAAAGCAAGTAAGATGGGCCTATAGATTACGATGCCTGTTCACGTTTAACATGCTTTTTCTGCTTACAAACCCAGAAGGAAATGACCGCATACTTACAAATGTGGTTAGTTTTATAACATAAGTGTGGAGTGTCAATAAAGTGGTGTTATGTAAGATACATCCTTTCTAAATGCAGAGACTCCAAGAGTCCATGAATCATCACTTTTATGTAATCTTTGCAAGCAAACCCTTAGTTTTTAGCCTGATACTTTGTATGCAATATTCAATACAAATGACATCATTTTCCCTGACATGAGCGTCACCTCAAATATCCTTCCCATTCCAGTGAACTTTATGACTAACTATTATGCCATCTGCAAGCAGGTAGGGGTTGTCTCCTTCATGGTACTATGAAGTTGCCAGTGGACTGAAATAAAGCCTAGGAATCACTGTTAAACGCAAAGAAGTCATGAGCAAAAGTGAATGGTCTAATACTCGCTAAGCCTGCAGACTAAGTAAATGCTTACCCTCAAGTCCCAGTGGCCTGACACAACTGGTGTCTCTCTGTGTATTTCAATAATTGCAAAAGCACATCTCAGTGAATTCTAAATATGCCCGCTGAGAGGGGAGACTTCAATTGATGAGGGAAAGAAAAAAAAAAAGTGTGCTCCTTTTGTCTTTTTATCTTGAGATCTCAGTACAGTAAAATGATATAACTGTGGCCCCCTTAATGGGGGCCAGAGGGAAGGCTAGAGATAGTGTTAGCTGTTTTGGTATAGATTTAAAAGAGTTAAATATTTCCACCATTGCCTACATTTTAAACTTATTAAATCAATAATGAATTACTAATAGAAAATAATTAACAATGGTATCCCTAAAAAGGAACTGTATACACACACACACACACAGACAAGATTCCAAAAGATAGGTAGTGATTCAGTGGCACACAGGCAATTCATCTATTTTCATAAGGGGTCATCCACACTCCAGCTGGAAGACTAATGTGCCCTGTAAAGCTTGGGGATGTTATTTCTACATAAGGTTATTGTAATTAGTAAGTGCTGGAAACCTGAGCTATCCACCCGCCTCTGAGCAAACCCTCATCTCTACTTTGAGCTGTTCCAGCCCCAGTCCTCTGGCCAAGGACAGAATGCTCAAGAAAGACAGTGTAAATTTCTGCAAGGGCCATTGCCCTGTCTGCTGGTGTTTGCTCCAAAAAGCATATTCTTCATGCAGGATGGTAGGTCACTATTTTACCAATGAAAGGGGGATATAAAACTTAAAATTGAGCTGTGAAACTTTAAATTAGGACTATATAAGAGAGCAAGAGATACCAGTATTAACTGAAAGAAAATACCTAGTTTTCCATAAAACTCAGTGTTCACAAATTTATACCTTCAAAATATTATTTTATTTGACTAGACATGAGGTATTTGAAATTGCACAAATCCTACCCCTAGTTTATTATCAGTAGTTCACTCATGTCCCTGACACTGTGTGTATGAATGTATTTAAGTTGTAATAAAATTACTCATGGCATGGATCTACCATTCATACCTACACATAAAACATTTTAATTACCAAAAAAAAAAAAAACCCTCAGTGTTCATAGTGCTAAAAATTCAACATCAAGATTTAATGACCTAAAGGTATGTCTATGCTGAAATCTCTCTCTCTTTCCCTCCCTCCCTCCTCCCTTCTCTCACTGTACTTTCTCTTTCCCTCCTCTCTCCCTCCCTCTACCCTTTTTTCTCTATGTTTCCCCTTCCTTCTCCCTTGGATTTTAGGAAAGCTTTGGATGCTGACACTAATTACTGGTAATTAACAAAGGTAATTATTTTGAGACCAAAACTTTAGCTTAGACATCTGGCCTAGCTTTTGTTTAATTACCTTGGGAGTTAACTTTGAAATCTTCTCTAGAATGTCTCTTAATAAACAAAAGCTACTGGGAATAGAACAGTTTCTTCACTTCTTTAACCCTTCTTCCCTTGAACTTAAACTTCTGAGTGTGACAATTCCTTTGCGTTCTGAGATGTTATCATATAGCATACCCTTTCCTTCATTGCTTGCTGAGGCTTTAAGTAAGGCAGTATGGAGACAAGCTGAAATACTAACCATGACAAATATCTGAGGGTGAATAACTTGGGTAAGATTTAACTATAAATGACAAAAATTCTGAAATGAGCATCTTGTGGAAGACGGAGATATATTTGTCTCATAGAAGTACACATAGACAAGAATGAGTACAATATGATTATCAGAACACCAAATTATTAAAAAAAATCCCTAAAAGGTAGCTTAGACCTTATTAACATAAAATATCTGTTCTTGCTATGCATTCCAAGAACCAAAAGGGGAAAAAAAAAACTTACGGTACAAGCACTTTCTACAGCTGTACCTAGCATTTTCATTTCTTTCACATTGACCAGAATTTCATCATGTAACTGCACAAAGCTGCAGGTGTGTGGGGAGGGGGGGGCTGGGAAAACAGTGTTCCAGACGTTTCTTACACTGAGAGGTTCTAGGACATAGGAAGCAAGATAGATAAGGAGCCGTTTTCTCCCAGCAGTACTTATTAATGGGGACATAGCAGGAGGCATATACCAGGCTTGCTAAATAAGTGAACACCATCAGTTAGGAAAGAATGCAAAGTATATAGCACTTATGGCTGAAAACAGGACCAAAAAATGAAACAAAGCCCCTCTCTAGCCAAAGCTTCTCTTTTGGAAGACCTGAGTTTTGGTTAGCAGATCCCATCCACAATAGTAACTCTCAACTTGTAATAACTCCAGCTCCAGAGGATCAAACAGCCTCTTCAGGATTTTGCAGGCACACACACACACACACACACACACACACAAATAAAAAATAAAAATAAAAAAAAGAAGAAAGAAAATATTAGTCAAACATTCTAGCTACACACTCTCATGGGGAGAATAATTAATAATAATTGGCAACATCCAAGAATATAGTAATCAGGGTTTCTTGTTACTTGCAGGGGAAATACTCAGAAAAATTATCAAAGGCTCTAGCTTTGTGACCTGCAAACCTGACACCATGGCCTCCACCTTAATCACAGAATTTTAGTAATTCAAAACCCTTCTGAATTAGAACAGGTCTGTAGGTACCCTCTAAGATCTACAGCTTCAAACAGCTCCACTTGAACCAGCCCTAGAAAACAAAGCTCATCCTCTGCAATTGAAGTTGTTCCTTTTGATTAGAACACATAGGAGGGGGGCTCCTGAGGTGCTAATCCTTCCTATCTTAATGCCCAACTGACCTCGTGCTAAAGTAATTACTCATTACTCACAACCCAGAGATTGTTCTCTGCATTGGGTGGTGTGTTTTACACTCTGGGGATATTTGCACTCATTTTTCCATTTTTGTTTTGCAAGCAAGCCATGAGACAGGGTCGTTATGTTGCTGTCACTGTCACTGCTCGTGAGAAAGTCAAGGGACAAACAGGTTAAATGACATGCTCATGGACCTCCTGCTAAAAAAAAATGGTAAAGCCTGGGTCTGAACACAGCTTGATTTCAGGATGTAGCTGTTTAACCACTTTCTCTGTGCTGCTGGGTGTAAGTTGGTATGAAACAGAGGATTCCAGAGGGGCCCAGACCTGCAGAATTGGAAACTACAATTAAACAAATCCCAGATGGCCCTTGAGCACACTGAACCTCAAGAGCACTATGTTTAAGTGTGCCTGACTGAACCATTTACTGTGACGGCATGGGTGCTGAATGCCCCCACAGGCCCATGTGCTAGAGGCTTGGCTCCCACAGTGACACTTCAGAGAAGTAGTGAGAGGGGGCTGTCAGCTGTTGAAGGCGTACTTGAAGGAATTTACTGAAGCCCAGGCTCTTTCTTTCTCTCTACTTTCTGGATCACAGTGTAAATGATTTTGCTCAGCAATGCTTTCTGCCATGGCATGCTCAAGCTGCTTTACCCCAAGTCCAAAATGGGCCAACCAAACATGAACTAGAACCTCCAAAACTGTGGAACGTAATGACTTTTTCTCTCTATATAACTTGAATATCTCAAGAGTTCTGTTATAGTCTAAGGAGGCTAACACATTTGCCTCTGATTAACACTCTGCCCTTCGTCTAAACCTCTTTTATGCCCATCAGCTGACCTGTAGGAAACACTTTCCCTCTGAGCAGTTGTTTCAATATCAATGGTTCAGAAATTGGGGATTTCAAACATCTGTAAAAACTTAACTGTTTGAGGGGCTGTCTCAGTTAGGGGCTCTGCTGTTATAAAACTCCATGACCCTAACCAACTTGGGAGAAAAAGGTCCATTTCAGCTTACAACTCTCAGGTCATACTCCATCACTTAAGGAAGTGGAGGCAAAGACAAGAAACTGGAAGCAAAACCTGAAACAGGAGCCTTGCCAGACTTCTGCTTTATGGTTGCTCTTCATGGCTTGTTCAGCTTGCTTTATTATATAACCAAGACCCCCTTCCGAAGGTGGGCTTGCTCAGGGTCGGATGGGCTCTTCCACATCAAGCATCAATCAAAAATGCACTGCCAACTTGCCTACAGGCAACATTATGGAGGCATTTTTCTCAACGGAGGTACCTCTTCTCAGATAACTCTAGCTCATCTCAGGTTGACAAAAACAAACAACCAGCAGAGTGGGTGGGGGTGGGAATGGATTGGCATCGCATTTCTGTTATGCAAGGATATTATAAGCCTTCCCATCATTATATCATCAAAGATGGAACAGCTTAACCACAACCCCCCCAAAAAAGAAAGAAAAACTAGAAAGAAAACAGGTCATACTCTGCAAATGAAGGACATTTCGAAAATAAATTATGCTGTAATTTTATAGAAATCCTACTAAGTTGTGTGTTTCACATTTCACTGCAG